CGCGCCTCGATCTAAAGGAGATCTAGAACTGCGATCTCCCGCGCGATACGAAGTACGTTCCTTTCAGCCGCGCGCTGCATTGTACTTTCCGGTCTCGAAACGAAATAGACGACGTGCATTTAAAATTCAGTCCAAGGGAAATGGGGAGAAAGAGAGAGAGAGAGAGAGAGAAAGAGAGAAGGAAATTACAGTGAAGCTAAAAAGAGAACGCTTCTGAAAGGAATTGCTTTACGGCACTTATTCAATGATATGAATTTCTAAGTACGCATGATCGAAAGCTCGGTTCGTACAACTGATTTTCTGTTGTCCGCGAGTCAAACGAAAATTCTGTTGTGGGGACAGAAAATTTTCTGCAAGATAAAAGCGCCGATGCCTAATTCTGAAAACTCTTATTATTTTGATTTTTGAGTATGAATATTTAAATTTATAACATAGAATATATGTACATATATAGTAAAAAATTTTGTGTAAATAATGGTCTAGGGAAATTTTGGTGTTACTTTAACATGAGAATATGTTAAAAAGTACACAAATATATGTTAAATTAATATATTCATCTTATTAACATATTACTTTTTTACATATTCATCTTATTAAAATAAACCCAAAAACTTCAACGGATCATTATTTATATAAAATGTTTTTTATGTAAATAATGTATATATAGAAAAAACAACTTCGTTTTAATTGGATTTCCTGTTGTCTGGGGATTAGATGAAAACTCGGCTATATGAATAGAAAGATTTCTGTAGGAGGTTTCTATCCAGTTAATTGCTTTCAGTCGTTTCAGCCGAGTTTTAATGCACCTGAATGTTCGCACGAATATTCTAAGTAACAGTGACAATGACACCATTTCTTGCGACTGAGTTTTCATTAAGTTTCTACTTAGTTATAGAAATTGAATTCTTTTTCCGTATATGTGTATATATATATTTTTTATATTGAAAATTTAAATATTCGTATTTCAAGATCAGAATAATAACAGTGTCAAAAGCAAAATGTCAGTGGACTGTTTTTAACATCCAAATTTTTTACTGTCGAAGTATTTCAACTGAGTTTTAACGCAGCCGACTGGTCAGATGAACGTTTCCGCATGAAAAAAATAATTTCGTTGATGTGACTGAATTCTCTGTTGCCTATAGGGCCTGTAGGCATATTCAGTACCTTTAAGGACAACCTTTAAGGACAGTATCGTTACGTTGTCGTCGTGCAACTTTTTTATCGTATGTTATATCCGCGCACAGACAACGTTTCGATAACGATACCGTCGTTACAAGTTGCAGAATAAGTTACAGAAAACCAGGCAATAACTTGGTTGTAGAGACCGAAAAATATCTTTATACAGAGAATAGATTTCTTTGAATTTAATGCAATTTCTTTAATTGAAACAAATTTGCTTTTAAAAACGGAGAAAACAAACGAATATTTGATTCAATAAACAGAATTGTTTGATTTTTCAAACAGTAAATTTTCTTAAATCAAATAACATATTCTGTTTATACTTTCATTCGAACATTATAATGGTTGCCACATAATAAATTATTTGAAAGAAGTAATACTATGTTAGAAAAAAATTCTTATATTATGTTTAACAATATTTTAAACAACGTGGTTTACTCTGGTGAAGCAACATTTCCACTCAAACAACATATTTTATATTAAACTCTGTTTATATTAAACAGACTCAAGCGAAACGCATGTACTAAATCTAAAGTTCACCTTTTCCCTTGTGTGGGAGACTTTTCAATCCACCGCTCTCGGTTGTTTTAACCGAATTTTAACGCAGCTGGATGTTTGCACGAATATTCTCAGTTCGAGGTGACAGAGACGTCATTTCTCGTCGCCGCCCGGATTTTCCGATCCCTATTCACTCGCAGGAACCGAGTTTATCTTTTTCCGTGCGTTCGTTATAAGAGAGAGAGAGAGAGAGAGAGAGATACCTTTCCTCATCGTCGAGTTCTCACCTGGTCCTCATTCCGCCGTACGACCTGCAAATTTTCTCTCCGCGCGTGCACCACAGAACCACTCCGAGCCGACCGATTTATTCTCCCATGCCTCGGCGTGCGTCGGGAGCGAGTTCTCGCCCGGCGCCCCGCGGCCGTACGGCCCTGAGTTTGGGCCCGAGCGGCGGTGGTTCTCGGCGAAGGCACACACGCTCGTCCCGTCGTTCGGCTCGGTCGAGTCCGCCGCGGTACTTGTGTCGGATCGTGCGCGATCCACGCTCGCTCGCTCGGAGAGCGTACAACACCGACCTGTGCCACCGTTCTTCGTGCTTCTCGGGTGTCCTCTCTCTTTCTCTCCGGGGCCTGCGACGCCGCCCGCCCGTGTTCCAGCCGCCGCTGGCCGTGCTCGCGTGATGCAGCTGCGGGAAGCTGCGACGTCACAGTCATCGTCGTCACTCGTCGCAACGTGCGGCGTCGTTCGCCAGGCCGATTTCGTGCGCGCGGCCTCGAGCGCCGAACGTGGGACTCCTCCTCGCCGCGCTCCTCTCGTCGGGCCCGTTTAAGGCACAGATCGCGGCTCGAGATCGACGTGCGCGTGCGCGCACTCGAGAGTGTCAGTGGGAAGAGAAGTGTGTGTGTGTGTATGTGATCTCGTGTTTTCGCGTTGGATGCTGATCGAGATTTGAATCCGCCCTCGATCTCACCGTCCATCCCTGCCTCCGCCCCCTCCCCGTTTCCCTATCGGTTCTCCAGCTTGCTCCAGCGTCTTCTTCCAGGTCTCCTCTGTGCGCCCTGCGGACCGCCGAGGTAAAAAGCGAGGTAGCCGTGGCGACGAGTGTCTGATCGAGGCTAACTGAGCGGGGCCGACGAAAACGGCCGGCGAGATGATCATCTCGACGATCATCTCGACGATGATCATCTCGTGAGAGAAAATACCGCGTTGTTTATCTGTCGCGCGAGGTCGTCGCGGATCTTTCTTCAGGCGTGTCTCGTGTGCGCCGAAGGTAGTTACAAGTCGCCCTCTCGCGTTCGCTCCGATCGATCTCGATTTCTCGAACTCGAGTGCCGCGAAGCCGTTGCGCGAGCCGTCCCCCGCTTTCCTAATCGCGTGAATTTTCCGCCAGTTGGCGGCGTGTCTTCGTGCACGCGTGGCAGGAAGGTTAGGTGGTGGTAGCGGGCGCGCTCGGTGTCGCCTTCGAATCACGTTGCATTTCCGGGATCCTCTTTGGAATCCGACCGGCGCGAACACGCGGCCTATATATCGACGCACCGCCGAGTACTGTTATTATAATCGAAAGAGAGAGAGAGAGAGAGAGGCAGCGTCGCTGTAACGGTGCGAAAGAGCGGCGTGAACGGAAGCGTGAGTCGCGAACGTGAAGCGCACGCGTTGTTTACGCACGAAAACGAGCGTGGGAAGCGAAAACGGGAGTTCCTGATCGCCTCGTTAATCGGCTAGCCGTTTATGCGCGCACGCGATTCCGGCTCGCCCGGCTAAATCGACCGTTCAACGGCCGTTTCTCCGGTAAAGTGAAATTTTGCCGGTGAATCCGCGCGCCGCGAGAAATCGCGCGAATCAATCCGTCCGAGATCTTTCCCCGTTGGAAATTGATACGTATTCGCGAAATGGAAGAATAGTCGATCGATCGATTCGCAACGCCGAATGTGACGGTAGCGCGGAAATTAGAATGTCAAATTGAAGTTCGATGAGAGGAGAGATGCACACAGAAAACAGTGCCAGGCTCTAATACTCCTTAGCAAATATTTCTTTGATCCACGTAAATTGTCCAAGCAAAATATTTACTTGATTCAAGTCCCACATAGCACACTTTATCCCGTGAACGTCCTTAGGACGTAGAATGTCCTCTGGACGTCTTTAGGACGTCCTTTGAACATTTGTGTATGGGAGTAAAATTTACTTAATCCGAATAAAAATTTGCTAAGAAATATTGGAGTAATTTTTAACTTGAATCTAGCATTTCTTTCGGTGTGCACGAAAAAAAGATATTAATCTTAAGTCAATGATAGATATTCTTATGTGTAAGTAAGAATATTATAATATTCTTGCTTATATATGGGAATATCCATTATTGGTTTAAGATTATCCTTTTTTCTGTCTAGTCAATATCGTGATGAGTAATGTTAAGAAAATGTTAATATAATAAAATGCATATATAAACGATACGCTTGTTCTTTTCGACTGAATTAATGTTGTATTGGAACTTCGAACCTTTTCCTCTCAACGTTAGGTCATTTATAGTTGTTTCGCTCTAACGGCAAAAGATGCAAATTAGTTCGGTTAAAAAGAACAAACATAAAGTAAAAGTACCCCAAATATGTACCTAAGCATGGGCTTTCTTATTGTTTTTGCTTTTAACTACGAATATCTAAACTTTCGACCATAAATATATATATTCAGTGAGCAAATTGATCGCGGACTGCGCGCAGATTGGCAGCGAATTTAATCAGAATCCTACAAACCATCAGAATCCCGCACCATAGCCATCTGTGTTCCGCATTTAGCTCGCGTTTTAACGACAGAGCCTGGCAGGCAGTCCGAGCAAATTGCAGATAGCAGAAACTACGCAAAGTCTGTCGCAAGCAAATCTGCGCGTAACAAGATCTGCCCGATTTCTGCCACTAATCTGCCAACAGATCATTGCAGGCTTGGTTTCTTCCGTCAGTCTGCTCGGATTACCTGTCAGCAGGCTCTGTCACATTTTTGGCAACATAGTCCGACAAAGAAGATCTTGTGTTACATTTGTTGCCTTTCTGCCATCAAACATTTGCAGCAAGTTTTGCTCGAAATGCGTTTGCGCAGGTTTCGCTATCTGAGTATATGCTATATATGAAAGTTTAAATATTCACATTTAAAGATCAAAATATTGAGAATATTCTTAGGTACATTTTCGTATATTAGTACTTTTGCTTTATTATGCAATAATTTAATTGCAATTTTATTTTTACTTTCGCCGCGATAGAGATGCCCGTAAGCATGCGTGGAGTGTCGTGTCGAATTATCGGTATAAGCGACGAATATTAATTGCAAATTTTTATCAGGGTCACCTTGGCGAGTCGGCATAATGCCCGCACCGAAGATGTCAGTGATCGGTGATTCCATCAGGCTGGTCCCCGCTGGTAGCCCTGCCCTCTTCGAGTTGTCCGCACTGGGCTTTAGGAGTAGTGAGATCGACGTGCAGATTATAAGTGAGTAGTGTCGAAATTGAATTTCTCAAGAGCGCTGCGGCAAGAAACGAATCAAGAGTTTGATATTCACCCGGCGAATTACAGCGCCCTCGAAGAGGCACATTCCCGCGAGGATCGACGAGGAACCAGGACGATCCGGCGAATTTCGCGTCGAGTTCACGCCGACCGAAGTAGGCAGTCACCTTGTGGAGGTCAGCATCGCGGGACAAAAGCTACCGGCGGGACCGCTCGTCGCCAAGGTCTACAACAGCAGTTTGATCCAGGTTACTGACGTACCTAGCGCCGTGGTCGGCCATGCCTGTCAATTCAGAGGTGAGTCACGTGATCTTACGCTTCGCATTTTATATCCTGCGAATGTTCCAAGGTAGAAACTTCCAAAGAACATCATCCTAAAGATACGTCTTAGTGACGTCTGAAAGACACCTTTTACAGAACGGGATAGAAAATGAAGATGACGTGAAAATGATGAGAAAATAATCGAAAAGTCAGTTTTTCATCATTTTAACGTCATCATGATATTTCGTTTTAACTTGGTATTTCTTCAGACATCTTTTAGAAGCTTCTGTTGCCTGGGTAATGCCTCAGTCATTAGTGTCTGTCTCAAGCTTGTGACTCTTCTGCAGTGGATGCCAGCGCTGCTGGGGAAGGCCAACTGGAGATCTCCATAAACGAAGGCGAAGTGCCCAATCACGTGCAAGTAGTGGGTGGCGGCCGTTGCCTCGTATCGTTCACGCCCGAAGTCGCGAAGTCGCATTACATCGACATCAAGTTCAACGGAGAAGCGGTACGCGGATGTCCGTTCGTCTGTAACGTCTCGGACACCAGCAGAGTCACGTTAAGTTTGAGTCATCTGGAGCTCATCCCCGTCGATATACCCGCCAGCTTTCACATGGGAGTCGACGGAAGTGGAAGTGCGGAGCTTGCGGTCTCCGTAAGGGGTTAGTCACACTTTTGATCTTTAGCGTCCGTTTCGTTAATAAAATGCTCACTAACTAAAGAATAGCGCTTCCCTAAAATTAACTTTATTCAATGAAAAGAAATTGTTTATCGATAATTCTGTTGTGTTTGATTCTTCATTAATATTCTAGCAGCATTCGTAGATCTTTACCACAGAAGGTGGTCAGTTTTCCGTTGGAGAAGGCAAAAACTCGAAGTGACCTTTTAGGCAGACCCGATATTTTATATCTTCACAATGTTTCCAGATCCTATTGTAACTAATAATGTCCTCTGGTCGTACATATTTTCTAAACCAATATCTTTTCAGGACCGAATAACGAATTGCCGGTCAAAGTGACCGGTGACATAAGTAGCGGCTTCACTGCGGAGTTCATACCACGGGACGTAGGCGTACACTCAATTAGCGTGGAATATAACGGCTATCCTGTCAACGGCACGCCATTCTTAGCTAAGGCTTTTAACGCGGACAAAGTGCTAATTGGACCAGTAGCCAGAGGCAGTGTCGGCCAACCAACCCACTTTACCGGTACATAGCAATAATATAATCAATTGGTTAGGTATTACTTTCGTTAACTCTTTAGCTCTGACATGTAAGGGCGTGTATACACACACACACACACATACGCACGTGCGTCCTTAGATATTCAGTTAACCAGAACTTTAATATGTTTTATATGATTGTAGGGTCTATTGTACTTCGTTAGGCTTTCTAAAGTTAAGTTAGAAGTTACTTAAGCAAAAACTAATTGAAAAGTTATGTTAATGAACTTATTAAAGTTAACGGTTAATTTTGCAAGGCCACGTATACATATATAATTAATTAACTGTTTAATTAACTATTTAATCGTAAATTAAATTTATGCGAAATAAATCCAAGGTAGTTTATTATAAGAAAATAACGACTGTTTTTCGTACTCAGAATTCCATACAAAAACACTAATATTCAAAGGGGCGAGAAAAAATTTTGCTGTCATTACTTCTGGTTTTTTTTATTCTATATTACAAAAGAACAACTCGGCGTAATGACTTTAATATTGATGAACTATGTTAACTTATGTATAAAAGAATTACTCGATCGAAAGATTTGAACGGCAATATTTGATCTCAACGAGCGTGTTTCGATTCGATATTTTGTAAATGTGAAATATTTTTTATAATAACGTTTCCTGTTTTGATTAACTCATCTTACCGTCCGCAGTCGATGCGAGTCAGGCGGGCGAGGGGAACTTGGAGATCACGATATCGGCTCGCGGTCAAAACATACCGACGCAAGTGACGCCACAGGGGAACGCACGGTTCTCCGTCAGCTTCGTGCCGTTCGAGGCGTGCGAGCACGTGATCAACATCGCCTTCAACAAGAAGACTGTGCCAGGTTGCCCCATAGTAACGCGCGTAGGTGGCGACAGCCATGTAACCGTGAGTGGGCAGGCATTAAGCAGCGCTGGATTAGGACGGCAAAGCTATCTTACCGTCAGTAACGTTGCCGGTAGCTTGGAGGACTTAGAAGTTAACGTTGAAGGTACGTATCGGCCCGTCGACCTGTACTGCGCACTCGAGTTACTCGACAGGGTAACCTTCTTCGTCATCCGACGGCACCCACGTTTATCTCCTGCGAATCTGACTCCCGCACACGTTGAGTCGAACCTTCCGACGATGTGTCGTCCGTACGACGAGAATCCTCCCCACCGATATCGTCGATGCTTCTCATCGCAAAGTCTTGTTCTCCCGAGAGGACGTTCATGTGTAATGCACGCATTTTCTCACACACCGAGCACCAGTTGTACAATGTGTCACCGGCAAAAATGCACGGAAGCATCAGTGTGTTAATTCACCACGTGTACTTAATAACGGAGGGATCTTTCCTGTTCTATTCTTAACGTCACGGATATGAGTGTCGCATGTCACGTGTACGTAACGTCGCCGAACCGGATACTTGCACAGGATCCATCCATCCATCCGTCCATTTCGTTGTTTTTCACGTTAATCTACAGCTTGAGAGCAATTTTCTCTCTCTCTGTTGCAGGTCGGCCAGCTTTCAGACTACGACATTACTAGACTTCTCAAAAAAAAAAGAAAAAAAAACAAAAAAAAGAGAAAAATAAGAAAAACACTAATCTCTCGCTCTTATCTATATAATTATAACGGACTATAACGAAACACGCGGTGGTGGGTCCCCTAACTCTCAATCTGCTGAAGATCTTTTGCGTAAGGGTAGTCTAATTAAACCGACCCCCTCCTCCTCCCTTTCCTCTTACTCACGTATTCCTCCTGTACTTGTTAGTTACCACAATCGGCAGGAGTATTGCGAGCGCTTGATATCTGGGATTTCCGTTTCCTCCTTCATTCACTGTAGAGAAGCTGTGGAAGGCGCGTTTAACACACTTATCGCGATCGCATCCCCACTTGCCTTGTGGTGTTTGCGAGATGCGTTTGACACTTGACACGTGTCAGAGCCATGTTTACGGTGCTATATGTTTACGTTTAAGTTGATCGTTCCGACGCGACGAGACACACACGTTTACCGATCCGTCTGGACACGATGTGCCTTAACAAGAGTGCCAATATTTCTTCCGCCAATGACCAGTACACGCATTGTCGCATTCAGTTTCGCGGACGAACTGCGAAGCCACTGCGAGATCATTTCTCTACCTGATAACACTTTAGCGCAGGGTTGTGCTATAGGTTTTAAGATTACGTCTACATAGATAATTTATGTATTGTCTGCGCGATGTTTACACGGACTTTTTTCACATATACTCAATGTAAACTATGTAAAATATTATAAATTACGTAGCGCAAAGAGAAAGGATAAATTGTTATAGTTGAAATTGTAAACGTTTAAATCAGTTTGAACTATAAAATCGTACTCGATTTGGATGTTAATTATGAAGATACTTAATATTAAAAGTTTTTGAGTTTATATATATAGGTAACACAGAAATGTTACCACTTAATTCACCCGTGGACTTTTTTAAACGGGGAAAAGCAGTATTCTTTGATTCATAATTACATAAATAGGTACAGTATGCATAAAATTAATTTTTCTCTTTATCAATGTGAAATCAAGTTCGCCAAATCTACTGTTGATTTTTTGTGGCACCGTAGAATACCAAAATTGTGTATCATCATGTTTAAACCAAATTTTTAAACCAAATAATTTCACCGATTTTGAATAAATTACATAGGTAAATTTAGATATAACCCACTTCGTGCATATATAAAATATCTGTATAGTAGTATAAAAAGTATATATGCTGTTAAAATACAAATGTTCAGGTTTACCTGTGGGCCTTCAATAGAAACAAAATATAAAAATAAGAAATTACGAAAATTAAGAAATTTAAGAGAAAGATCATTCCGAACTGTTTATAAATTACTTATTGCCTACACAGATGACATATTATATATAGTTTACATTGTCTATACGTGGAGAGACGTGGACTATTTTATTTTAATATAATTGATGTATTTTACGCGTAAACGCCAAACCCTGCTTTAGTGCATCATCCTCTTAATATGCCCGCGATTCTATCGCACTCGTCGCTCATGTTTCTCGCTAACAAGCATGCTGCGGCCGAGAATCACGCGGACGGTAATCTTAGTTAATTAATCCATTCGCGACGCGAGCAGGCGATGATTCGCGACGGGACACCCCGCGGCTTCCCTTCGCATTATAGTCACGTAACAGTTTCGTTTCTTCGCCGTAAGCATCCACGCGCAATCCGCTTGCTCTTAACGTCGCTTGTCATGCAAGTTTTCCAAGTGCTGATGTGTAATAACAATTGTCGAAGTAGTACACGATCGGACGTGCGCGAACTCCTTCGCTGGCCTCCGGTGTCCCTGTGTGAGATCCCACCCGAGTAGATGGCTGAGCTAAATGATATTAAACGACTAACCGCCGGACTTGATAGGGCCCAATGGACAGGCCGTACCTGCTCAGGTCACTGACAACAAAGACACAACATGCAGCGTGGCGTTCACACCGAGAGTCGTTGGAGAGCACCGTATCTCGGTGAGCCATCGGAACATTCCGGTGGTCGGCAGCCCCTTCAGCTGTAAGGTGTACGATGTCACCGCGATCAAGGTGAAGGATGCCAAACGAGGCGTTATCGGGATGCCCGTGACTTTCTTGGGTACGTTCTTTTCGATATTCTCATTAGTTCTCATAGAATGTTGTGATGTAATGAAAGTATCGATACCAATATTGAAACGGGTGTCTAATTAAGATTAATCGATATCATTAGTGATACCGGTATCGGAAGCAAAATCTCGATATCGATACTTATATTTAAACAAAAACTATGCCGTTACACGTGCGAAAACTTCGGCCGAACTGAGATATTAATTTGGTTAATGGGCGAACTTGGGATAACAAACTCTTCTATCCCTCTATTTCTGTGCGCAGTCGAGACTAGTCAGGCGGGACCAGGAAACCTCGAGGTCACTGTGAATGGTGGTCGGGTGCCGACCTCGGCACAGGCTCAAGGCCCTCACACGTACGCGATTTCGTTCACCCCGCGCGAACCGATCGTGCACACCGTGGACCTGCGCTTCAACGGGGAGGACGTGCCTGGCAGTCCGTTCAGTTGTCAGGTATTCCATGGCTCTTTGCCAGGTAGCAGAGGCTCCTGGCGGATGTTTCAGAGTTCAGACACAATAAAACAAGGAACAAGCAACATGGAACTAAATACAGGGAATTAGAAACCTTTGAGAAAAATAAAACATTTTTTTAAGTATTTTTTAAACGTTTTACAAACATTTTTTAAAAGTTTCCGCTGCCCGAATTGCACTTAACATTTTCTAATGCTCTCTGAGCACGAAGATTTATTTAAGGTTTCAATTAAGATTCCGATTTTTTTACTTTAATACGTTCGTTACTGCGGCTCATTTGCAGAACCTTTCCCATAGAACTCCTTTGTATTTTTCTTTTTTCTATGTAATTGTGTAAAACTGACTTGGTTTATTTATGTGGACACAGAGAGAAAAATAATCGTTGTCACACATATGTGACGCTGGTTTCTCATGAGAAAGCGTCACACATGTGAAATGAATAGTATAACGAATGTGTTAAGATTACGATTATTTTACTGACTTTTAATGTTTTTATGGTAGAATGCAATTACAAAGATCCTCCTCTATTTAGGTCAGCGATACTGCGAAAGTGCTGATAACCGAGGGACTCGAGAAAATATCTGTGAATCGTGTCGCGACCTTCACAATAGAGGCCGACACGTCTCTCGGGACACCGGTTGTTGAGGTGCTCTCTCCCACCAGAGAGAGCTTGCCTGTGCATATCAAGCAAAATGGTCACGGCACCTACACCGCTGGATTTACACCGAAAGACGTTGGTGTGTATACGTACGTGTGAATTAAAGAATGCGGAACATGATTGTCATTGTAAACTGCATTCGTGCTCATAGGCGATCATAGTGTCGAGGTGAAACTTAGCGGTTCGCACGTGGAAGGAAGTCCGTTCCTCGTCAAGGCCTACAATGCTGACAAAGTTAAGGTGACGGATATAAACAGCGGAGTCGTCGGCAAGCCAGTGTTCTTCAGCAGTAAGATCATTTCTTTCACACTAAGGAAATATTCTCATTTGGAACATTTCGTTTAGTAAGTGATCCTGAAAGACTTTTTTTGAAAAAGAAAAAACTATAAAATATACAATTCTAAAGTTTCGCACAAGTATAGTTTTATCTATACTTTAGCTATATGCAGTAATTTCTACATTATTATTTTCAATATTAATAAAGTTATAAATAATTTTATTAGCGTTGAACGCGAAATGTTGGTTCATATAATTCCGGACATTGTAGGTTTCTGAAGCCAAAACGGCAAAATAATTATTAAACTATAAACTTTTGGCTATCGTTCTTATCATAATAAAGCTAATATTTTTAATGTTTCGATTTTTTCATTAATACATTGAAGATAATGTGTACAAATTACTGTACATAATTAAAACAATTTTTCGTATAAAGTTTTAGAATTGTATATCTTATAGTTTATTAAAAACACATTCTTAACATTAGCTACAAATCTTCCAAATGAGAATACCGTTTTAACGCGATGATGAAACCGAAGTAGTTTTTCCACGTAGAACGCACTGACATCCTGCCTTTGTCATTTCAGTCAATGCCAGTCAAGCCGGAGCTGGGAACCTGGAGATCATAGTCGCGGTAAACGGCAAGAACGTACCGAATTACGTGCAGAGCGAGGGCAACGCCAAATTCCGGGTGAACTTTAAGCCACAGGAGGCCGCCATGCATAGTCTCAGCGTTCGTTTCAACGGAGAGCCAGTTCCAGGTAATAATATCGCTCCTGATCGCCCAACATCCTCAACTTTACCGATATTAACTATTTCATCCGAATGTCCAGGTTCACCGTTCAGTTGCAAAGTGGTAGGCGCGGGTCAAGCGGTGATCTCCGGTCACAACTTGAAGATGGGCGCTGTGAAGCGACTGGTGTCTTTCACGGTGGATCCGCAGGCCCCGTCCACGAATTGCGACGTGATTGCGACGCCGCCGTCGGGCATCGCTCTGCCCATCACCATCGAGCCTATCGACGGCAAGTACAACGTGAGCTTCGTGCCTACGGAGGTCGGCAGGCACAACGTTAGCGTCTTGATAGACGGCGAATCGATTAAGGGCTCTCCGTTCGCGTGTAATATTTATGACGTGACTAAGGCAAGTTTCTTCAGATCGGAGCTATTTTTTCCGCTTGCGAGAGATATATAACGTTCCGACGACGACTGCAGGTCCACGTGTCGGGTCTCATGGAGGCGTTGCTGGGCCAGGCGACCACATTCACGGTCGACGCGGCGGAAGCCGGCGAGGGAACTCTTGAACTGGTAGTCAGCACGGAAAACAACACGGTCAAGGCCGAGGTTGTGGCCTGCGCACGCGGACTATACGACGTCACGTTCGTGCCGCAAACGACGAGCGCTCATTATGTCAACATCAGCTTCAACGACGACAATGTTCCAGGTTTGCGAACTTTCAATGTCAAGAATTTCGACACATTTTTCGAAGATTTAACGTTTAGCTCGTTTGTTTTCTTGTTACCTTTAGGGAGTCCGTTTAAATGCCCCGTTGTCAGTGGTATGTTACACGGCCCATCGATGGTGCGAGTTGGTAACACAGCTTACATCGACTTGGACATGTCTGACTTGAACGGTCCTGTATCGGCGGAAGTCACCGGTAAAATATCTGCTGGCACTTGTCATGGGAGTTGTCGCTTCATATTTCAGTATTATTTTAAATTTCAATATCCAATGCGTTTAATTGTTGTTATTATTATTATTTTTATGATCATTTTTGTATGTTTCAATATATACGTATATTCAGTATATTTACTATTTCAATATTATTTGAAGTTTTGATTATATATTAGGTTTGTCTCGCTGGTTATCACAGCGCTTTGATGCCTTCGCTTTCAGGCCCAGACGGAATAATCATTCCATGTACGCTGACGAAACTATCCTCGAGCTTGTATCGCGTAGAAGTTCGGACGCGACAAGTAGGGACATACAGTATAATATTCAACGACGCACACACCTTGGTCAGTTCGCAAACACTTCAAGCTTTCGATCCCGGCAAGGTTTCCATCAAGGAAGTGGCGGACGTAGTGTGTCATCGACCCGGGACTATTTTAGGTAATTATTCAATCCCCCCTTTCTTCTCTCCATAGATCTATGTAAATCTCATAATACTTTACTGAACATCGATCTTGCGAGAATTATCAATTGTTTGCAAATCTGAATATATGCATGATATTCCGTATCTTCTTCGCACAGTCATTGCGTCGAAAGAAGCCGGTCCCGGCAAATTAGCGGTCAACGTGCGCGCCGGCGGTGCGGACGTGGACAGTTTAGTAAGGGAAGGAGACAACGGTGTCTACGAGATTGTATTCCATCCCACGCGCACCGCACCTCACAGGATTCACATAAAATACAACGAGGTCCATATTCCAGGTATGATCAATCTCCATCGCATTCTGTTGACGCATCAAACCGTCCGAGACTCGTATAATATATATTCATCGCGCTACATCACTATAATCTGTCACAATCATCATTATCTGTTCTAATCGTCGTATATAATAATTTCTCACGATAATCACAATCTGTCGTAATGATCATGGCCTGTCATAATCACTATAATAATATATTACACGGCGCAGGTACGATAAGTATCCGTCACACTCTATAGACGCGTCGAATCACCCGAGTAAAATACAATCCATCGTAATCATTATGACTTTTAAAACGATCACAATTTATCATAAGTATCATAATCTGTCACAATTGGCCTGACATATCATCATTTACCAGCAATCAATCTTAATATGTGCTTCAAGGGAGTCCACTGGACGTGACGGTGCGCGGGCCTACCGGAGGGCGAGAAGTAACAGCGACAGGGTTAGGCTTATACCAATCGTGTGTTGGGAAGGTGACGTCATTCACGATCGAGACCCTCGGTCGGCCGGGCAAAGAGTTCGACGTCGTAATTAGCGGGCCGCAGGGCAACGCCGTGCCCGTACGCTGCTACCAGCATCGCGACGGCAATCTGCTCGCCGAGTTCACAACAAATTCCGTTGGTGAGACGTCAATGATAAGTTCGCTCGCTGAACCGTCTCGCGCGGGAGCTCTGAAACGTTCGATTGCGCACAGGTACGTACAAGATCGACGTGCTGCAGGGGGCGAAGCCCGTATTGGGCTCACCGTTCTTCTGTCAGGCCTTCGACGCTGCCAAGGTGAAGCTCCAGGAGCTGGGCCCGATGACGATCTCGGTCCACGACCACATCGCCTTTAAATGTGAGTGACAATTACGCACGCGTGCTTCCGCAAACGAGGTTGCCCTCGCGTACGTGCGATGAAAGAGCCGACGTTGACCTGAATCGGCGGGTGCGAAATCCAGTTATCCGGCTGAGGGAACTGTGCTAATCGCCGAGCGGTCGGCAGCGGCGTGATACCGCATGCGTGTACGCGCGCCTCGCATTGCCATCCCATGCTTATGTAAATGTGCGAACGCGTTCCTCGCGTACGACCGGGAGAAAGTAGCGAGCGTTTTCTAGCGCGACGCGTCTCAAGGCTGCACCTGCGATATAATTGCAGCAGATAGCACAAACATAACGCCACTTTCAAATAGCCTCGCCAACTCGCTCGCTCGCGCGCGCGTCGCGGAACAAAGTCGCGATACATCGGTGTCTCCGCGACGTACGCGCGTTCTCTCGCGACACGTTCGTCGTAATCGTCGGCTGCTTCTTCACAGTGATGAAAGCCGACGCCGGTATGGCCGACCTGGACGTGACGGCGACCAGTCCGTCGGGCCAGGAGATCCCGCTGCAGGTGACACCGCTCAACGACGGCGCCGAGATGATCGAGTTCTCCCCCAGCGTGCCCGGTACTTACATGATCAACGTCACCTACGGTAATTATCTTCGGAGTAGACTGCCTTTTTTTCTTCACTTCTGTTATTCTTGATGATTACTTGCCGGTGATTATCCTCTGGTGTTAATCGTCGAATTTTCTTCGCGACGATCAGGCGGATGCTCCGTGCCTGGGAGTCCAGTGGTGTGCACCGTCGACGCAGCAGGACAAGCGCGCGCGAAAGGCGAGGGATTGCTGAGCGGTCACGTGGGTAAGCCGGCGCATTTCATCGTCACCGGCACGAGGAGTCCCCCGGCGGTTCAGGTATTTAGACGCACGGAGAGTTGAATGCGTGGGACGTAAGGTTGTTGCGATATTATTGAACACTGGCATCGATCTTTTTTTCTTTCAATACCAACTTTTCAATCGATATTTTCTCTCGTTATTTCTACCTGTATTATTTTGCTTCGACATCTTTTTGTTAATATTTCACCCAGATCTTCAAAATATTACGCTATATAATGCTTTGGTATTAGTACCGATACTTGAATGGTATCACATCCCTAGTGGGACGTACCAGCTCGTTTTGTTTGATTATCGTACGCATGTCCGTAGGTGGATGGGCCGGACAGCGTCTCCAAGGCTACCATCGAAGCCGGCGCGAATCCGGGCACGTGGAACGTGTCGTACGTGCCGACCGAGGTCGGCGTGTTCGATGTGAGGGTCGTTTCCGCCGGGCAACAACTGCCGGGATCTCCGTGGCACCCGAAGATCATAGACACGCGGAATCTTCGCGTTATCGGTGAGTCATCTCAAAGTGTGCGACTACGTACTTTCACTGGAGAAACAATTGAATTCAAGTCGAAGCAGCTGATAGGAAAATTTGAGCGAGAAAAGATCTCGATTGAGAAGGTTCAAGTGTTATTTTCAGTGATTGTCAATAAGTGTTTGATTCATAAAATTGTTCAAAACGACTGAAAATATAATTGTGCAATATTAGTGAATATTATTAAAGAAACGTTTTGGATCACAGATATTTTCACGGAGAACAAGATTACTCTTGTGAATTTGATTAAATTTGTATACAATGTACTCACGTGAAGATTTGATCGCAGGTGGGTGGTCCGCAGTGTGTGACGATATCGGACGCTTAAAGCTGCACTCGTCGAACAAGATCAGCTTCGACACCGCGGAGGCCGGGCCCGGCGAGATCAGCGGGACCATCGGCGATCATCCGCTGAGCTTCGAGATGACGTCCAATAACAGGTTGAAGCTCGTTCCACCTCAGATCAACGGCGGCGAGCACCGGCTGGAGATACTCTTCAACGGCACACCGTTTCCCGGCGCGCCGAAGCTCGCGGTCGCGCAGGACTTGGAGGTTTCTCGTCACACTTGATTCTTTATTACTTCAATACGTGTCGTGCAATCGTGCACCCTGTTCATTTCCAGCCTCCGGTGCAGGACACGAGTCGAGTGTTGCTGAAAGGACGAGGACTTACGTCGGCCAAATGCGGCGAGGAGGTCAGTTTCACCATAGACGGCTCCCAAGCCGGCAACGGAACGCCGAAGGTTCAACTGTTCTCGCCTACGAGCGAGCTCAACGTTATGTTACAACATCTAGGTGAGAAAAGGAAGATTGCAAGTCCATAGGACGCAAGTCTGCAGGAGAGACGTGAATCTAAAAGTACCATTCTTGCGAACGCACAGGCGACAGCGTGTACCGTGCGAGCTACATACCGTTAACGCCGGATCCACTGCTGATGACCGTCTCGTGGAATGGAAGGCAGCTGAAGGGTTGTCCCCTGCAGATCAACGTCACAAGCGCAGCCGACGCGTCCAGGGTCATTTGTTCCGGCGATGGGCTGAAGCACGGCGTCGTCGGGCAGGAGATTCGCAGCTTCATCGATACCAGAAGAGCCGGACCAGGTGAGGGAACCTGTCTCTTCATTTTGCCCACCTCGAGTATTTCTGCTATTTTTGGAGATATGAAAATATTTCAATTACGAAAGTTTTGTGTGTGTGTGTGTGTGTGTGTGTGTGTGTGTGTGTGTGTGTGTGTGTGTGTGTGTGTGTGATGGGCATCAAAAGGGCTATGATACGCTTGGAATAATTTTTCTGTGGGTGGAGGCGCTTTGGAAATTACAAAGTCATCTCCATTTTTTTTCAACGACATATTAAATTTTTTTTATTCTTAATGCAATAGTGGATGTTCAAACGATTCCACCGACCTATATGTCATTAAATAAAGGAGTGAAACGATGATTCTTACATATTATGAGAGATATTAGAAGTGATATCTATTTGTATCAATTCAATATTGCAATCGTCAAATTACTGCAACATGTATTTTAGTCAATCCGAAAATAAAGAAGTGTACATGCTTCAGGAATTCAACGATTGTAATATTGCATCGATATAACTGGACATCACTTCGAGCATCTCTTATATAAGAATCATTGTTTTAATCCTTTATTTAACGCCGAGTGACTTTATACTTTAAATCATTGGAATCGTCTGAATATTCGTTAATGCATTAAGAAGATGCCGGAGCGAAGGTCGAACTTCGACGGGAAAGCGCCTTCATTTAAGCGGAACTAAAAATGTCGATAAATTCTTGACATTTTTGATGTGATACGGGAGCAAGCGTGTTTAAATGAGCATGCGAGAGAATATAGAAGTGGGAAAGTGAGCGATGGGACGAGTGAGTAATACAAAAGAGCGAAAAAGAGAGAACTATATATTACCAGTGCTCTACTTACTATCCTGCATCTACATTAAACGCGTGCAGATCCATAAAACCCGTTTGACTACTATACATTCTTACTACGCTTTCAGTTCGATGTTTGTTGATACACCGTTATTCCTCAGCTTAGTCCGAAGCAACAATTATTTTGTACGTAAGAACAACTTTTATATTAAGCGAACGTTTCTATGACCTGACAGCTGCAGCACGTGCTGTAATCAGTCACTCGCACGCACTTAGCAGCGCTATGTACACTTTTTGCATTTTTTTTCATTCTTAATTTTTTTAATTTTCACCCTTAATACTGATAAACTAAAGATTATTGCGTAAAAATTAGCACGCAATATTACAACGCAATATAACGAAGTGTGAAACACGTAATTGGAGCTCAATCAGATGGAGTGTAACTCGAGCGAGATACAATCCAGTGCATCTTGTTATTTTAATTTCTCATGTATCTCAATTGTTAATGAAAGACTTGCTTCGCAGGCGAGTTAACGGCACACTGCGTCGGGCCGCACAAGGTAGCGTACTGTGAGCTATACGATCATGGCGATGCCACGTTCACGTTGAACGTGAAGCCTCAAGAAGCGGGACGGCATGCATTGACGATCAAATATGCCGGCGAGCATGTCCCCGGGTCTCCGTTCACGCTGCGGGTCTCTGGTGCTCCGGACGCTTCGAAGGTATTAAACTGACTTCTTAAAGTGTCTAAGATATCCTCTTATAGATATCTTTTCGATTGTCTCTCAAGAGGTCAACCGATAACGGAAGAGTATTACTTACTAACTTTTTGGACCAACTAAACGAAAGAATCCGCAAAAAAGGGCCGAGTTTAAAAAAGAAGAAAATAATCTTTATTAGAATAAAGCATGCGCTCATGCAAGTATAGTGAAAAATTTCTCGGTGGCGAGCAATTTTCCTGTAACAGGTACGCGTTTACGGGCCGGGTATCGAGCACGGTGTGTTAGCGACTTTCCAGTCGCGGTTTATCTGCGACACGCGGGGCGCGGGTGCCGGCCAGCTTACGGTGAGGGTGCGCGGACCTAAGGGAGCGTTCAGGGTGGAGATGCAGAGGGAGACGCAGAAGGACCGGATCATTCTCTGCCGGTACGATCCGACGGAACCCGGCGATTACAGAGTGGAGGTTCGCTGGGCCGGCGTGCTCGTGCCGGGGTCTCCGTTCCCGGTTAAGATCGTCGATACTCAGGATGAATTACTGATGCTCACGCAGGTAAGAACGATCGTCGAAGAATGGTTTTCGCGCGTGTGAGTGGAAATTCAAGTTCCTCATCCTTCGCTGCGGTCTTCGTCTCGCTTGATGACGTCGGAAGCGAGAAAACGTCTGCCCGAAATTCTTACGAAATACGTTGAAAAAAAAAGGGGAAATAACGGTTGCGAGAGAAGAATCGATTTATTTCATTTCAGGGTGGAGACAATTATTCGACAGGCCATCACACTATCACATCGTGGCGTGGATCGCAAGCTATACTGTAGAGACGCCGCGTCTAACATTGTTATTATTTTGTATGGACTAATATATATCCGGTAATATATAATAATTATTGTAACTTATGCAAACACATTTTCAATAAACTCAATTCTCGTTCGGCAGTCACTTCCCTCTCCCCCCGCCTCCCTTTTGGCCCATCTTTTCCTCGTATCTCGAAGCGTCGACATTTGCATTTATTACAAATTACGCGCGATTATATCGTTTAGCTAACGTTTATGTACACTTTCTTCGAGACCTCTTCTTCGGGTCCTCACCGTTTCTGCCTCTTCTTCTCCAATTTGGAGAGATCCCTGAAGATCTCCTTCTTAACTTCCCTCTGCTTCCTCATCTTCTTGACTTCCTCCGCGGCGACTCGCGCTTGATATTCCGTGATCCTTTTCGTCATCGCCTCCTTGTTCTGCTGCTGTTTGCGCGCGTAGGTCGCCCTGATCATCCTCATGAGCTTGGCGACCTTTCGTTCCTCGGGCTCGCGCACTACGACGACCCTGCCTCGGCCGAACTTGGGGTTGCGATTGGGCAGCTGCTCTTCCTTCGGCTTGTCTCTGTAAGGCAGCTCCTTCTGCAACTTCCGCGGGACGTAGAGCGGCCTGAACACCCGGACGTCTCGCTCGATCTGCGTGTACATGGAATCTCGGTTGGCCTCGGCGCGAATGTTCTTCTCCCTCTTCAATTGCCCGGCGGTCTTCATGCCTCGCCAATGGTTCTTCTCCGCCGGCGGCAGCAGCAGCGACGTCACCGGGTTGTAGAAACGCGGCACGTCGACCTTGTACCACGTGCGGCAGAACACTATGTCGCTCAGCAGGATCTTGTCCTCGAAGGTGGCGCGGAAGCAGCCCTCCGGCTTGGCGACCACCTTCTTGATCTGCCCGCGAATCCCCGACACCGTCTTGATCCTGGCGCCTTCGAACTTGGCGACCTCGAGCGAGCTGTTGAACATGTCCTTGATGTACGCGGTCTTGCGGTAGATCTTCATAGGCACGCCGGTGAGCTTGAGCTTCTTCACCACCTGCACGCTCTTGTCGATCTCGACGACCGAGCCGGTCGCCGCGATGCGGAAGCCCGGCCCCCTGCTGGCGACGTCCTGCACCGCCAACACCCCGGTGCCCTGCGGCGTGACCGGGCCCCACAGCTGGCTCATGCAGGCCACGTGTTCCGGCGTGTACTTGAGCATCCTATAGCGCAGGTTGTCCTCCAGCTTGGAGTAAATCGGCAGCGACTGGAAGCGCCGCCAGCCGACGGAAAAAATGAGCGGGTCGCGACTCTTGAGGATACGCGTGTACCAGCGGTGCTTCTTGATGCGCGCCTGCACGTAGCCGATGTTCTCCTCGCCGTGCAGCAGCCCGCCGACGATGAGCGGGTAAGTCGGGTCGAGGTGCGTGATCAGCTCGCACGGCACCGTCTCGATCTCCAAACGCACGTACATCCCGGGCCGGTAGCCCTCCAGCTGCACCCTCAAGTCGTCGTCCAAGCCTTCGAACTCCGACCTGTTGATGTCAGCTTGCCTCTCCACCTCGGCCTTCAGCTGCTCGTAATACGTCTTCGTCCCCGAATCGTACTCCGCGTCGAATTGTTGCTTCAGCTTCCTCTTCTTCTCCAACAGCTTCCTCTTCTCGTCCTCGGGCGCCGCCGGCCGAGCACCTTCATGCTTCTCCCCGGTCTCCAAGTCCTCGAAGTCGCCCATTTCCTCCCCCTCGTCCACCATGTCGTCTAGCTTTAGAAGCTCCTCGGCGTCCTCCGACTCCTTCCACTTGCCCGTCACGAAACGGTCGGCCAGCAGCGCCTTGTTCACCTCCTCCAGCCAGTCGCGCGGCTTCTCCGTCGTGAAGAAGACCGACTCTTCTTGATTCTGCAATTCCCGCTCTTGAATCTTCCGCTTCTGTTTTTCTTGAACGGCTCGCAGTATCACGCCTACGTCTTCTCCGGCCTGGTCGTCCTCTTTCTCTTCCTTCTTCGTCTCCGACAAGTTGTTCTTATCCAGCACGTCGTAGACCAGCTTCATTAAGTTCTTATTGTTCTGCTGGCGATTAATGAACGCTTCTTTCGCCTTCTCGGCTAAGTTCGCCTTCCATTTCAGCTCGTCTGCGACTTCCTCCTCGCTCTCGTCCGCCTCAACATCTTCTTTCTTCTCTCTCACGTCCTCCTCCTCTTCTTCTTCATCATCTTCGTCTTCCTGCTCATCTTCAGACCCTTCCCCTTTGAATTCGCTGATGTGATCTAAATCGTCCATCTCTAATCCTGTGCGTGAGTCTTCGTCGCTAAGCTCGTCGAAACTTTCATCGTCGCCGTCGCGTTCTGCACTTTTCTCGGCTGCGTCGAGGCAACTCAGCGCCTTCGAGATCTTATTCTTGATCAGCATGTCCGACTCCTTGCTCAGAGAATGATACACTCCTGTCTTCCCTTGGGCAACTTCATTCCCCTCATCCTTCATTACTCCAGTTTCGTCAAGATCCATATCGTTACCTTCCTTTGCCGCATTAACCATTTTCTTCGTTTTGCTCCGCCTTCTATCGTCTTCTCCGCTTCTTTTCCTCTTAGTGCCCTTTTCATTAAGTTCCACGGTATCCCCATCGCTCGATTCACTCCCTGCATCATTGTCGTCGTCATCATCATCGTCATCATCGTCATCATCGCTGTTACCTTCGTTTCCTTCTTTAACCCGATCGGCATCCTCGCCTAGATCATCCCGGGATTCTTCGTCTTCAAATACCACTTTCCGACGAACTCTCCCATTCTCCGTCACTAATTCGCCCGTGTAAGGCGCCATGGTTTCGCTCACATCATGAGACTTGATCGGCGCAGCGTCGCTGAACAACTGCAACTCGCTACGCTGCAGTTTCTGGTCGAGCGTCTCCTGCGTGTCCATTAACGCGTTAGCCAATCCGGTATCCTCGTGCTTGTGGAAATGACTGCCGCCCGTCTCCACGTAAACAGCGTCCTTGTCGTAGACTATCCCACCTACGCCGGAAAATGGCGCGTAGATCAGCCGTTCCTTCTCCACCAAAGCGCGCTTCTTGATCTGCTCCGGCAGGGGGCAGGGATCCGGCAGGAAGCTCAAGTCCTTGATCCTCATGTCGCCGCAGCCGGGTATGTGCACGGACGTCTCTTTATTTAAAGGAATCCCTCGGATATATCTGGAAGCAAACGTCTTGGATCAGTTATATATTCTTATTAACGCATAAAGTTATACTCTATGGTATCAACAACTCTTTAAAGGGAATTGAGTTTTCCAAAATTCATTTTTACGTTAAACGTTTAATTTATTCATTTATTATATTATTCCTCTAAGAGAGATGAAAAACACCGATCTTACAGTAAAAATCAATAAAGAGCAAATTCGAATCTCGGGGAATGGAAAAAGTTACGTGATACATAGAACTCTAGATTGATTAAATTGTTAACCCTTTGAGTGGCATTGACGCCTTTTGGTGTCAAGTTTTGCTCTATATTTTTACACACGAAATTTAACGGAAATCGTAATACTTTCTTTTTCCTGACCCTAAGGGCACATTTTGTCTGAAACATTCGATTAGATCAGTAAGAGAAGAAATGCTCACACTTTATTTTCCACACATACCCATATAAACTTATTGTCCTGTCGATCTTTGGATTCTGCCTGATTAATTCCGGCGATGTCAAGTCCTCCACTCTATCGGCGAGAATATAAGGATGAGTAGTGCGCCAAGTCAATGGCCTGAACTTTATGACTGATATGAAACGCGCCAGATTCTTAATTTCCGTGCGCAGGTATTCGTCGTGCACCAGCCCCGAGAGATAAAAAAGTTTCGCGCCGGTGAACACCTCTATCCAGAAGCGATGCTTCAGCGTCTTCTTGGTCCTCCTCATTTGCTTGGCATTTTTGATCAGGTCCAAGTGAGTGAGCACTCCCATTATCCTAGGCATACCGTGTACTTGACATATATTCAGGAATTCAAATATCTCCATCTCGAATCCAAAGGATGCATCCACCAGCAGCAACACCAGATCCGCCACCTTGGCGATGTCTATCATGCTGTTGATGTCATTGTTGCATTCCATGAAGGTAATTCGTTGCTTCTTGCCGGATACTACGGTGACTGGACCGAGTATGTTGGCCAAAGGCTGTTTTACATAGCTCTTGATTAAGCACTGAACGAGCAGGGACTTTCCCACCTTCGGTGGACCCACTATAGCCACCAGGATCGGTGGTGGTTCTAAGGGTGTTCTGTCGACTAAGGGTATATGCTGCTTCTTTGTCTCGATGTCCTGCTTGCGCCTGAATTGTCTCTCAGCTTTCACCACAGAATGGAACGTGAAAGCCTTCGGATTCTTCTGCCTGTCCGTCAGTTCCTGAGCGTGTCCCTTCTTGGCCTTCTTCTTCTCTGCCTTGCGTCCCGCATTACGTCCCCTGTGACTCTTGTGCTTCTCCACTTCGTCCGTTGCAGACGACATTTTGCTGGCTCTTATCCGAATTATTCTTCGTTCGTATCAACTGAAAAATTCGCGTATATATATATATGCATCACACAAAGCAGGTTCAATATCGAGTATATGCATAAGATTTTCGTACTCAAGTCGTTTTTATTGACGATATCTTGCGATATCATTACTCACGAACTTCTAGAATCATTAAGAAGATATAAGTTACCCTTTCTATCTGCAAAAATAAAAACGAATTGGTAGTCGCGCATCACACGTGCGTTCACACGCGTGTTAAAATTTTAGGTTATATTTACCACTTCAACATGAAGTACTCAACTCGCACACTCGCGCACGGAATGGCTCGGACTACCGTAGGGTTGCGTTCGGGAGTTCACACCGGTTGCACACCACTAGCACACTAGCCGTTCGGAAATACTCAGTGTGGTTCAGTGTGCATTCGCGTACGTCGTTCGGAAATCCTCCGAGAGACACAACTGTGTGCCACCGAACCAACCGACGAAAAAGAAGGGGACGTCGGGTGAGTCGGTGGGTTACTATCTAGTTACTTTTATCATCACTAAAAAAAACTATTTATAAAACAATGTTTTAAATGAGAATAATTCTTCAAAGGTAAATAAAGGGTGTGAAGTATTATTAAACGAGAATACCCTCAATCTCATTAATGTACACAAAATACCCAAGCAAAGATGAGAAATTGATTTTTAAAGACGGAGTAACGCAGCGAGCGGCATTTGACACAGGGCTGCGCTCTGAAAAGAAACACGTCTCTCGCTATCGTTGATATTCGCTAGGATATTGTTGCTGGGATATCTTTAGAAGTAAACCATTTTTCTATGTACAGGACTATTGTTTCCCGTGCGATCATTAGCTCGTACAGATTAATTCATTTCTCGTTAACTATTACGAATTTTGCAAAACGGTGCATGACTTTTCTATCCAGTTTCATCCATTCTACCTGCGCGCTACGGATTCCGAGAACAATTTCAGACATCTTGTATAATAAACGCATTGGGTGTGTTACGGGGGCGCGCTATCAGCGCTGAAACCTCATTTTATCTTTGTCGCTCATTAGATATAAAATAAGAATAAAATATTGCTTCAGTGATGATAGCGCATTCTTCGAACGCAACCATGTGCGAAGTATTTCTACGTGCTCCTATCGCTTTTACAGAACAGAACATTTATTTATTACATCGTTCAAACGTAATTGAATCGATCGTTGTGCAACAGATCGCGCGGCACTCGGTGCGCCACGCGCTTCTGTGTGCGTTTCATTAGCGGCGACGCGCACCAGGTGGCTTTGGAGCGGTCACCGTTGAGTGAACGGAGTGATCGGCATAAACAAGCGATCGCTACTCGCGGGACCTACATAACTTTCTTCTGAACTAACGAGTGACTGGGACGTTTTATCGTCTGGGTCCGAGGATCGCGAATTGGACTGCGAAATAAGCTCTCGAACCCGGAGAGGCCCAACGAGAGTGATTTTCTGAGAAGGAAAAGGAGGAAAAGTCAACCAGCGCGACGACGAAAGGAAAAACCTTGTAAGAAGAGGAAAAACGAGATCCGCTTGCGATTCTCGCAGGATGACACCTGGTGTGTCAAGATCCTTTCTTTTCCATGAACGTCTCTGTCGATGATTATCTCGGCTCGTGAAAGAATTGAACCGACGAGGAAATATCGCAAACCAAAATATAATAGTTTATGTTTACGCGTAGATGTAATATGTCATCTATATAGACATTAATTAATCTATGAACCATAATGGAACAAGGACTCGTTGCGCTATCGCTCTCGCTTATTGAACCGCCCGACGGGGTTTATGCAGATTGTTAAACGCAATCGTGTCGCACGGAGAAACATCGGGCGCAAATGTCTGTCGCGGTGTACATATCGGTGACGGAGCGTTAGGGAAAAAGGGGGGAAGGGGCGAGCGTACACATAGAAGGGTAAAAAAAGATTTTTTTTTTACATATTTTTAAAATATCGCGTCTTGAGAATGTTTTTGTAAAGTTATAAATTGTTCTGGCGAAAAATAGGGAAGTTATACGTAATTACAGGTGAATTCAAGCGCGCTTCGCGCGCTAAACAGATAACTTGTGACGAGGTCTGAATGACAAACCTGAGTGGTTTGTTTAGATCTGAAGAAGAGTTGCTTTTATCTTTTATATTCGTCGTATTCACCAACAATAAGCATCCGAGCTGTATTTGGAAATACAAACAGTCGATTTGTCGTAGTCGCTTATGTCAGGCTTAAAACACCTTTCCACGTTTACCGAACGCTTAAACGCATGCTTGTTGAAAGCTCGCCGAAAACTTCATTTTCGACCGGGTGGCTATGTCAAAGATTGAATTTATATTTCAACTTTATAAAACTCGTCTTATTCTGCTGCTAAATGAGCCCTGTGAAAGCGGTGGTTACCGCAAACGCCATTTTCAAAAACATGGTTTACGTGATATTTCAAAGCGTCGTCTTTTGTAATATTTTTTAAAGAAAATTTAATTTTTCAAATAAGAGAAATTATGATGTCTGAAACGAAACAAACAGGATCTCAATATCTTCTGTCGTTTTTCTGCAAAAAATTCGCAAAGTTAGGCCTGTTTTTGGCCCGTCTAGGTGCGTGTTCTTTCTTAAACGTCGTCGTTTATCCGGTTGCTACGATTTCTCATTGTTTGCGAGGCCAATGAAGGGAAGATGTCACGGGTAATCGCGAGATCCGGAACATAAGCATTTAGTTAATTTGCAGTTCGCGATTCCACCGCTAGCAGGGCGTCTTCGTTATTTTGCAGATGCCACATGCAATTGTTGCACGCCACGTATTCATTAGACGACACTAAGTATAACCTACCGTGTTTAAATAGTAGTTCCAATCACTGTCGTGTGACAATAAAATTAGAAGCACGTGGTCAAGAATAAAGAGCCTATTCTTAACTTTCCGCTTCGAGAGAACCGCACTTCACTGCGATACCGTATTATGCCGCAAAAATTTGTTTACTCCTTATCTAGTGATAATGGCTCTGCGAAAATTCTCTTAAGAAGTCACTTGTATTCGCTTGTACACCGCATAATTACGAGAAAAATAAAAAAAAGGATGTATAACTAGTCGGCCATTTTTCATTGGTCTCTTTTACTTACACACACAAAAAAATATATACTGCAATGTACATACATACATATAACTCGCGAGCCAAATCAAATATACATACATATACATACATATAAGTAAATGTTTCTAGTATTCCATAAGTTTATATATAAGTTTATATATCTACAAATATATTACTAGTTCGTCATAAATATCAAATTTATTTAAGATATATTCCTAATCCTAATAAGTTTAATAAGTCAATCACAAAAATATTCAATTAAAATGAACATCGTTTGTTTATTTATATCGATTACTTAGATAAAGGAAAATAAACTGATTCGTCGTTTTTTTGGCAGAGTGATATTTTCCTGTATATAAACAAATCTTGTTCGTCAGAAGTGGTTGTTAAGAGAGAATTTTTATAAAATATAATATTATTATATCATCAGATTAAATATATAAACGATTATTAATGATCGTAAACGGTTGTAAACGATAAATAGAGAGGGTTCTCTCCTTTATTTCCCATTTAGAAATAACACAGAAATGCAAATGTCACTTTACGAGTACTCCGTGACAAGGACGACGGACGACGGTGGTGGGACTCGTAACGCGAAAGGATTAGACGAGCGCCATTCATAGAATCCGCGTAACACAATCGCTGGATGCCACATAATCGACACCCCGTTGTTGTACCTACGTTACGGCAAAGTCCCGCTAAGCTGATCCTTCCATTGGTGTCTGTTTCTTTCCCTCGTCTTTTTTCTTTCTCTCGCATCTATGCACCTCGTCGTCACGCGTCCTTAGAGAAACGAGTTCCTTGTCTCGTCGATGCGATGTGTTCCAAGGGTAGCCACTTCGCGCATTCACGTTCTGGTTTTAATTCTATGGAGACATACGAATTAGTTAAACGGTGGCGACCCACCGCGCGCGCGATCAAGTTGCACCTGCGATCAGCGATCGCTGATCGCTCGCGGGGGTCGCCGCGCGCAAGGTCACAAGGTCACAAGGAAGCTCGACGCTGGGAAGTTCGAATGTTCGTGAGCTTAAAAACGCGAGATGCGATAGTCCACATAAAAGTTCTCCCATATTTTCCCTTATTTCATATAGATTCCGATTAGAATACTCAAAATAGGTTATCTCATCTATCCGTCTACGATACTAATTAAGAATCCTATTCTTATTCTAAACATAGAATAAAGTTGCTTTTCCATAATACTGATTGGCTGTGCGCTGAGGCTTTCCGGATTCACATGTTGATAAAAAAGTCTGTCGAAAGTTACATTGAAGTCGGACTGAATCTCAATTACATCCCAAGAGTTCTCCTACACGAGAGGGATTCTTTTTTGCAGAGGAGTGGAGGAGACATCTTGCTTTTCTTCGTCGACGACGATGTTGTAACCGACCAATTTACCGCGATGATTCACTGACTGTTCATTAGACTACGTTTGTCGTAACTGGGAAAATTTTTTTTTATAGTTGTGCATTTTTCAGCTCTCTCTCTATTCCATTTCTATCGATAGATAATTCCGGTAGCTTTAACAGGCTGACTCAAAATGATTGGTTATTACTGGCATTGTGATAATCTGAACGCGTGTCATAATAGCGTCTGTTTTTTTCTCTCCGAGGTGCTTCATTAGAGGAATTCCATATTTAGATTTTCTGCAGACGATTAAACACGATTGTCTACAAAACGGCACGTTGCGTCACAGACGAGTAAATGAAGTCGCGAACAAAGTGAAGTCATTGAATAAACGGAATATAACGTTTAAATTTTCCAGAATTTTAATTGGTGGCGTATATGTACGTATGTAATTTGGTTTCTTTCATTTTATCACTCCTCAGCTCGAACATGTGAAATATACGTTGAAACTACAATGTATCGCTGAAGAAACGTAAAAATAAAATAAACACTTGGCCTGTACGAACTAAAGCTTTTATTCTGGCACAATTAATTTTCATTAGCCACGACAAACATTCGATTGTTCCATTCAAATGTACGTATCTTCGAATAATTAGGGAGATGTGAACCTGCTTCGTAGAAATGCCATTCGGAAGGATAGCGTTTACTCGAAATCAATAAACGATCATCTTCTTGATATTATCTTGGAAACACATGAAAACACGAAAGCAACGAAATAGCTTTTCGTTGATTGCGAAGAAGTCGAATTAAATCGCACTATGGCGCCGAAGGTTAGTATTAATGATGGCTTACGTAAAATATACGTTTTCTGCCTTGTCACGTCAATTGTTTTCGCAACCGTGAAACTAACGTCAATCGGAATCGATGAGCTTGATTAATGTCAAATAGCAAAATCACGTTTCGAGGAAACCGAATATTCAAAGTTCCTTCACGTTTTTACTTCATTACGACGTCGTTTTAAAATCTGCGTGTTATTGTAATATATGTTAGTTAATTGAGTTTGCGTTTTCTAACCGTTTTCTAACCGTTACAGATCAATTTTGGGAGAGCAGATTATTTTAAAATATACAATAATTGCTATATACCCGTCAATCGTATTTAAAAATGAGGTAACAAATCAAAATTCGAGGATACGTTATTTCATAAAATCTTAAAAAAACCGAAGTGAACGTTACATTATTATCTGACAACTAATTATGATTTTTCATCCTTCATTTTTCATCGTAATTGTAATTTATTTAATTTAATAATTAATTAACTTACTTATCTAGCCGTTATTTAGTCATTAGGAGAAGTGAACGTTATATTGCTGGTTGGTATCGACATTAGACACAAATTTATTATCTCGTGGGTAGATACCCTCGAAGTCAACCTTCTACTAGCGGAAGTTTTCGTTCCTTGTCACCGAGATTTCATCTAGTTTTTATTCAGTAACAGGAATTGTTTTTACATGCACCCACGCACACGTACGAACGTGCGCACGCACACAAACGCATGTATGCCTTATCATTCCTTAAATTGAGAGTTACACGCTTTTAAATTTGCATATGTAACGCTTAAGGTCAAAAATCGCGAATATGCCCCAACAAAGAATGACAATGTTAGCGATCTTGGGGCAACCCGATCGCACCGAGCCCAAGATGCCGATGTGGTGACAGAGAGATTATCGGTGAGGGAGGAGGAGAGAGAGACAAAGAGAGAGGAAGGCGGGAAAAGGGAAAGAGAGAAAGAGACCGGTGGTAGACAAAGAGAAAATCTGTCTCTGCAGCTACCTTGACGTGGTCTAAACAAAAGAGGAGTACATTCCTCAAGTGTTGCCGCGGTCGCGTTTTAAAGCTTCTCACCGCCCGCCATCGCTGAGAACGCAGAGTGTTTGCCGTTGCTCCCCCGCCTCTCACGTGTCGGCATTAATGACATGCAATTTTGCAACGTATCTCTGCCGAGTCCTTGGGCCGGGAAACTATATAAACCGGGTGTTTATAATTGAACAGGCTAGCCGCCAGGATTTTTAACCAAGCAGGATGTCGTTCTACGCGCTCGCCGTGCTCTGTGCCACCGCGCTCACGCTCGTCACAGCCGAGGATCTCGAGTTTCGTAAGTCCTTTTTTTCAGTTCGACGCTCATTAACCAGCCTCCGAGGAGGTTTCCTCGTTGCCCTCTACTTGAGTCTGCTCTGACCTTTTTCGCGATCGCGTTTTCGCCGACCATTTTCGCCCGTGTCTCTGAATCGACGGCAGAAACACGGGAGACGACTTCGAGTTGCCGTCCCGACTATTCAGTGTGACGGAACGTGTACGCTCGTCGATCTTTTCGATTCGGCGAACGCGGGATTTGAGCTGAACGCGTTTTGATCGATCGACCGATCGTCCATTTCTTTCCGGTTCCGCTGCTAGGAGAGCAGCTGAGAGAAATAGAATCGAAAGAATCCCGGATCCGAGGCTTATACTCTCTGAGGATGTACTTGTAAATAGGTAACACCGATAAAAGAGCTGAAGTCTGTTCCGAAACATATCCTGAATAATGCTCACGACAACGGTCTCAGGTAACATCTTGTGTGGGAAAAATGGTACGCTCATATACACAGAGAAAATGATTTTTTGGAATTTAATAACATTTTTTCAATTGGAACAATTTTGTCGTTTGAAATGGAGCAAACAAACAAATGTTTGAATTAACAAATAAAATTGTTTGGTTTCTTAAACAATAAATATCTTTGCGTCAAATAATATTTCTTTTATATTTCCATCCAAACATTACAATAATCGTTACAAGCAATAATAAATAATTTGAAAGAATATTATGTTAGAAAAATATTAAAGAACTCCTTTTTCGCAATATTTAATATATAATGAAATAAATTTATATATATATATATATATATGTATGTATTGAAAACTAAATATGTCATATATTTCCTCTAAATAATACTGTTTTTTCTACAACAACAAACATATTTTTTTCTAATGAAACAACAACACTTTCATTCGAATAAAATGATATTTGTTATTAAATTATGTTGTTTACATTAAACAAACACATATATTAAATCCAAAGGAATTTTCTTTCTGTGTACGATGATGATGATTCGATTTGCGCGACGCAGATTTTCCTGGTGATCCAGTCGCAGTGACAGGACCAGTATTTCTACGCGACGCAGGCCGTTTGAGATGGCAAATGGAAATTAATCTTGCGTATGTATTCGCGCTGTCAGCGGCTATCGCGAAAATGACATACGCGACGCACGCTCTTCGGCGCGTCGATTGACGCACTAATCACGCAGTCGAATGCGAACTTTCGCTCCTTCGCGCGATTTATCACCGCCAAGTAAACGCTATAACTGATGACCGTGAGAAACGCAGCTGACTAGAGAAATTACACTATATCGTGTTATATCGTGTTATGCAAATCGAATTGGGGAGCAGGCGAGATGCAGTTAAGATGATATCTTAACAAAATAATTTTACGTATTACGTCATTCGCACACGCGAAATTGTGTTTACGTTTACGCTCGAGTGGCCAATAATTTCGAATGTAAGTTCCCGTATTCATGGTTGAACGAATAATCGTTGCATAACTTAGCGCGCTTATTAGTCATACACCTGATACACACGCACACTATATTTTCTTTTATTTATTTCTTTTTCTTCCCATAATGTCGATCGCCGGTTGCGCTGTAACGTCAACACGGCGAGCGAGCGGCCCGCTCTTTGTTTGGCATGAAACGCGCGCGCGTGTTCTACGAAAAATTGACACTCGGTGTACATTCGGCGTCTAATTTTATTATCGGAGAAAGGAAAGGTTTGTTCGCATTAACCGGTGAGTCCGGTATGCGTCGTACGAAATCCGCCGAGTTGATTCGCGCGAGATTCTGTTGACCGGCGGTTAGTATTTTTATTCGGTCGAGTATTCACTATACACACTGACAGAAAAACTAAGAAATAAAAAATACTTATTTAATAGACACTAATAACATATTTACTTATACCAATATATATTTTTGCACAGAGAAGAATTTTTTCAAATGAGAACATATATATTTTCTAAAATCTGTATCTTTTCACGAAAACAGTTTGTTTTATTTAAATAAGATAATTTAAATAAATATGTTATTAATACTCACCGTATAAATATTTTTTTATATATTTTTTTTCTCAACGTACAAGCGAATTAATGACTGAATTAATTACCTTCGAGGCTAATGGCGGAGATTGACGATAACGGAATAAAGTTCAGCATCGAAATCAGGATATAATTGATTTTTTTTGTCCGACGCTTTCGTACACTAATAATGGCGTTAATTATATAAGATAGTTTATATATAATGATGGAATATATTCATATATTTTTTTCTTCTCTCATGCAGCCGCGCAGACTTGCAAACATGACGCGGATGACTATTCGTCCTGTTTGAGGCTCGCAATGCAAGAAGCATGGCCGAACATTGTCACAGGTATCGTAAAGACCACGGTGATATTTCACTTCTTAATACAGTAACATTGAAAATTCACAATTCTGTAAAAATAAATATTATATTTTACTAATCTAATTGATCATATTTATTATTTAGCAGAAACACAAAAATGAAATACAAAAGAAACTTATGCGAGTTGACTCGTAGTATGGAACAAAGAATTCTTTTCTCACATTAGATAACTAGATAACTATGAGATAATTTGTATTGGGCAGTCAGTATATTAAATTTCCGCTTGAATTTCTATTTTCCCCGTCTCAATTTCCGCGTATCATCATTCACGATTTTTATGAGCACACGTTGATTCACGGCGTCGCCCCATATTTCTCATATATAGATAATTTTCGCTATGACTGCAAGACTATTTTTTTGAGTGAACTATCCTAGCTGGAATTCCCTTTCGAAAGGTTTGCCGAAATTCGACATACCAGTATTGGATCCGTATTTCACCGAGAAAGAAAGTACCACATACGAGACCAGTGACATACATGCCGACATCACGGTGATGAACGTTAACACCTACGGACTTAGCAAGGCAAAATTCTTAGCGGTGAGACCGAGTTACTCCGATGACTACTTCAAAATGGAAGTCGATATCGATTTGCCGAAGGTGCTTATCGAGGGTAATTACGAAGCGCATGGATCGATGGGATCATTCCAGATTGGTGGCGAAGGTACGTAGAATGGATTGACCAGTGACTAGCGGTGGTACGACACGACGATATAAAATACAGATCAGGGGTGTTTTGTTAAAGAATTTTTTCTTATCGATACATGAGTTATATTTATGAAAGAAACATAATATATATTTAATGATCCATTCGACAGGTTTTTTCAATATCAGTATGGAAGACATCAAATCCACGTGGACCATGGAAGGATCGGTAGCCAACGATAGATTGACCGTCGAACACTTTACTCTGAACCCTGAGGTCGGCAAAATGCAAATCTGGTTCAGTGATTTGTTCAACGGCAACGAGGGCTTGAGTGAGTAGATCTGCAAGAAATTATAATTACGAAGACAATTACGCATTTTCAACCGGATGCACGTCTCATTCACTCCGGGAAAACGTTTTGATCTCGTGTCGATGATCGATACGCTCGTTTGGCGTAATTAGAAGATTGACTTTACGAATCACGCACTATCGAATCACCTCGATAAGTCTCTTCTTTCTCTTCCCGTTCAACGCAGTTATGCAGCGCGTAAAATGAATTGCATAATTATTCTCTAAATTTCTCGAAGTGGAATTTAACTCAAGGAAAGTAATAAGTGTATTCAGAGAAAGAATTAACCATGGTAACTGGAATGGAATCCCCTTCCGATTCTTGATGCTTCAGCATCACTCTGGTTGCTATACAAATCCGTCACTGCTTTCCGATTCGCAGATCGATTCATCGACAGGCCTGCCTATACCTGAATCTATCATGAATATTTTGTTTTTTTTCAGACCAAGCCGCCCTGGCGTTCGTGAATCAATACTGGCCGACATTGTACCGATCGATGCTACCGTTCGTCGCGAAGAGCTGGGACGAACATCTCACCGAGCTCAGCAATCGTGTATTCATGAAAGTTTCCTTCTCGAAGCTATTCCCTTGAAGTCCTCCAGGAGAGTCCTTTTTTCCATGGCTTCTATGGCAAGTACGTAGCGGTAGTCGAGGCTCGATCGCGGACAAGAAGTAGGAATCGCGAGTTATTTAGGCGAAACTGCACGAAACTGGAGCGAAGAAACGCACGGAGCTTCCTCTTTCTCCTTCTCCTCTTCTTTCTCCTCCCCCTTTCTTATTCATGCGCCTCTGAACATCTCCGATGTGATAATTTTTCCATTCTCCCTCGCTGTATCGTGATAGCATTATTTTACTTATACCAGCATGACGTCGACATGCGTTTAATTGAGTTTAGTGCAATAGTGATCGAGTTTACTGTATGTAACTATGTAATGCGTAAAACTAGATTACCTCTGGCTGGTCGTTACTGTCACTGTGTTATCGTAACTGTTTAGTGAAGTTGTTTATACGAGACACAGATGTAACGGAATTATCGCGTGAAATATAAAGAGTACCAAATACATAGTGGCTTGTCGATTTCCCATACCGATCCAATCGATTGCATTCCTTGAGAATCTGTGCGAACATTCCTGAGCTGAAATTTGGGCCCCACATAAAAAAAGAGTGCTAGAATTAAGCAGACATGATTATCCGTTTTCAAGCTTAAATCAAGTATATATTTTTATCAATTAACATTTAAGCCAAATAATATTTTTACTAGTTTAAATATATTTTGGCTTGTAGTAAATACTTACTTAAACGTAGTAATACTTTAATTTGTAACTTTATTTTGTAACTGAATTATTGAAAGTATATAAATTCTGAATTTAATATGTAGTCTAATAAATTCTAAATTTAAGGAAGTATTCACTAAAATTGTGTAATACTTCTTCTCCATTGAAGAAATTTAGTAAAAATTTAAATTTCGATTTTTAAAATTGTATAATAGTCCAAAGTTTCGGGAATATGACGCTAAATACACGAGAAAAATTGGCAGAACGCGTGATTCGACTGGTGCGTTTGCGAAGTCGCGCGAAGCGCGAAAAGATGTAACGGTTGATTTTGTATCATACCTTTATTATATTTATACTTCATATCGATACACCATTAATTACCATACGTTGAAGCTATAATAGTACATCAACGATCAATTTATTCCTGCGAAAGAAAAAAAAAACAAGTATGCAACGGAAAATTCTCTTCGCTTCGTCAGAGCTATGAGGGAGGACTCGCATTTGGCGGTCAATGTGTTGAAATCGGAAAAGTTGCTCATACCGTACTGTTTTTTTCATATTTCCTTTTTCTTTCGTTGTCCTAATCATCTAAGAGTACCCGATGCGATTTTCGATTTTCACACCGCGATGCGCTTCCCGCTTGTCATACGTGCACGCGTGTAAGATCGATCGTCGATTTTAGCGCGACAAGTATAATGATCACTAACAAAGATACACACGATGTGGACGCATTCTAAGGTGTGAGGAACGTTTCAACTGGCACGTGCCGCAGCAACTGGTTCACGATTCCGGCGAAGAGCGCCGATAGCTTCCTCTTCAGCTGCGGCTCCATCACTTTCAACACCTCTTGTCCGTTTTCTCGAAGGAAAAGATTGGTCGCCTCGGCTGCGAAAATCGAACAGGATTGAGCAGCGATTACGACGTACGAGTAGTCGACGATCAAGAACGAATGTCCGTCGTATTAAGTTGAATTTGTTGATTTATGTTTTATTATGGTTTTTTTCTTTTTTCCGACTTCAAAGTCAGAATCAAGAATTGAGCTGAGTGTTGTCGCGCGGTACTTACTGAGTATTCGATTGTTGTTAAAGATCTTGCGGACTCGCATTTGCACGTCCTTCACTCGCAGCTCGACATCAAGTTTGTCGACGTTTAGATACGTCTTTCCGTCCCGCGGCTTCGTCGACACGTTTCCTTTGACTAGAGCCCTGGCGTCACCGAAACGCGCGTGAAATGTGCCATTTCCACTCGCGGGTAGAATTATCAATACTCCGGAGCTGCGCGCAAATAAATTTGATCGATTCAATTGCGCGAGTAATTTATCGTAATCTCTCTTAACGACTTTTGAAAAGAGGAGGTTGTGCTTTAATTGTTCTTAAAATCAATGAAAGAGGCAAACGTAGCGCGCGCTAGTATACTGAGAAAAAATATCTAACAAATAAAAAAAATATTTATTTTAAATATATATATATATATATATATATATATATA